AAAAAAAGACATCATAGGAAATTTTAAAATTAGAAACAGTATATGTATCGCTTAATGATGGATATACATTCTGTGAAGTGTGTCGTCAGGTGATTTTGTCGTTGTGCAAACACCACAAAGTGGACTTACACGAACTTAGATGGGACAGATAGCCGTATGCAGGTATAGCCAACACACGTATACAGGTACAGCCAACACAAGTATAGCCAATTGCTCCTAGTCTACAAACCTGTACAGTGTGTTACCGTACTGAATATTATAGGCAATTATAACACAGGTAGTATTTGTGTATCTAAACAAAGAGAGGGAATAGTAAAGATGTGATATAAAAGATAAAAAATGTTGTACCTCTCTAGGGCACTTATGAATAGAGCTTGCAAGACTAGAAGTTGCTCTGGGAGAGTCAGTGAGTGATGGGTGAATGTGAGGGTCTAGGACATTACTGTACACCAGTGTAGACTTTATAAACACTGTACACTTAGGCTACCCTAAATTTATAAAACCACAAAGTAACTGCATCATGATGTCACTAGGCGATAGGAATTTTTCAACGGCATTTTGATCTTATGGGAGTACCATTATATGTGTGGTCTGTTGTTGACGGAAATGGACGTGGTGCATGACTATATACCCTTTTTGAATAGGGCAGCAGTTATAGCTGCTTGTTTGCTTTTGTCACAGAGCTACATGATGTTGGCATGACCTTGTATCTTCATTTCATACACACTAATACTGTGGAGGAGAATCAAGTTGTTGGGTTTAGCTTAGGCATGCCAAGGGTATGGCATGGGCATGGAAGACATAATGCTAGAACCGCCAGCCCAGTCTTAATACTTGGTACTTGTTGCCAGTTTAAAAAACAGCACAGAGGTATAGGTAAAATGTTAAAGGAAACTTGTACTAATTTACATCCTTCGAAGTGACCTGTTTTGTGTCTCGTGGGCTGGGTGGACTCTGGGCTGTAATACCTGACTATCCTCTGCAACTCGCATGGAGAAAATGCCCCTTCGTTACCTGGCAGGCAGTGAGCCAGGCTGAACATTTGATACATAGTCGACTTCACCGACTCTGTGATTTAGCTTCCAGCTTTGCAGTTGCTGTCTTGGCAGCAGCTTGTGCATGGTGAACTTTTCTGACTAGAACAGTTTATAACCCCTACAGATGTTGGGAGCCCAGTTGTGCAGCTGTTGATATGTCCAGTTGGATTTCTTGAAAGAATCAATTTTGAGGATCTCATGCTGAGGGCTACGAGCATAATAGGATTTAGGGGGAACTTTATTTTATGGGAGTTTGAGTTGGTATTGCAACAGATGTAGCGGGAGGTGGATCAGCAGCTGAAGGGATGCAGGAAAATGGAGTTTAAAAAGACGTTTATGAGCCTACCACTCTAAAAGTATCAACTGTGGTCATTTCTGAATATTCTTTTCCAGGCTTTTTATGTGAATGTTTTAAAATGTGATTGTAATCATAGAGTACATACATTTTCTATATTGCAGCATAGTATTTGAAATAAATTTTCTAGTTGTGTATTATTCCATTGAGTACCATCATTTTCTGCAACATCCCTTTATTTTTGGGCATTTGGGTTCCTTCTGCCACTTTGCTGTTGTGAGTAATACTGTGATGAGCCTTTTTGTACCTATAACCTTTTCTATATTTTGAGTGATTTTCTAACGGTAGATATTGAGAATGAGATGATTGACTCAAAGATTGCTGTGAACTCTTTGATGTAATCAGGCAATGGATGGAGTGACTTGGTTGGTGGGGCAGGCTGAGTTGGAGTCTGGTTTAACTCCCTAGTTTCTGGTTTGTGTGATGTTGGGAATGGTTTTCATAGACAGGGCTGCAGGTGAGGGGTTCATTTTGGGATGTGGAGCATCCAGCAGTGAGGGAGCTTCAGGGACTGTTGAAATACAAGGTCTGGAGCTTAGGGAAAAGCCAGGACCTGGGGTTCAGATGAGGGGATCATGGGCAGCTACGTGTGGTGGAAGGTGTGGATAATGTTAGGATTGCTTAGAGGGTGGAGTGAGAAGAGAGGAAGGCGGAGGATAGAACTCTGGGAACATCTTTCTGTGACAAGTAGAGGATGGAGAAGCACTAAGGAAAATAAGGAGTGTCCGGGGGTGGGATGTGGACAGCCAGGGTTTCCTTTCTTTTCAAGAGCTTACTTGGGTTAAAATAAGACTGAGTGGGTAGCTATCCCTGTAGAGCCTGGGGGCAGATTTTTTTGGAGGGTATAATATTACTTTTTTTCCAGATAGGCTTTTTTTTTTGTTTTTTTGTTTGTTTTTTTTTTATTTAAAGCTATATAGAAGTTAAGGTTATTCTATTTGGTGCTGAGTGGGGAGCCTTACATGCCTGGTGCTAGGGTCAGGGTTGACTTGTATGTATGTGTTGAACTGTTTGGCTGTTTTGGGCTTCTGGTGTGTATATGTTTACATAATATTGGTTGTTTCGGGGTTTCTGGTGTATATGTCTTTACACAGTGTTTTAGTAGTCTATTGAAATACATCAATATCATTTTTACATAAAAACATATTTTTATTGAAGAGAGTGAATGTCAGATTTCTAAAAGTATGTCAATCATGAATGGATATACCATTTAGCTACTTATAATAGAAGCACCCAGATTTTTCTGGGAGCCTTTGCTTTTTTCAAGAGAATGTATTTCCTGTTCAGAGAAACATTTGTCTGTGTTGACAATTTTAAAGAAGTATGTGATTTTAAATTATGAAACTCAAATTTAGTTTTTAATAGTAATTTCTGTGTTTATTCTGTCTTTAAGAGCCAAGTTATAGAATGACGTGTGACTTGTACTCTTGACTCTATGTCTGGTTGTGGATTTGAAGTGTTATTTTTGTGCTTTCCTAAATGACTTAAGCACTTATGACCATATATTTGGGTCAGAATAAATATGGTAGTTGAATATACTTTTGAAAAGCCAACCAGATTTTTAACCTGGTGATATGATAGTACTGTTTATTCTTGTAATTGTCCAGACTCACGGCTTTAGAAAACAGTATGAGCTTTTATTGACTCCCAGACTTGCTGGATTAGTTGGTGTTCTCTTTTCCTCTGTAAAATGGATCAGCCGATGCCAGGTGTACACTAATACTCCAAGCTAGAGGGCTACCCTGTAGTGTGCTCTTGAGTTTCTTTTCCCACCAGTTGAGATGAATGCTTCTCCAGACCTGACTGTGTTAATTCCCAGACCTGTGTGTGCCAGGCGTACTTATTATAGTTTAATATAATGATTTTAAACGTGTGTGCCAAAAGAATTGTTGTTTCTTTGAAAATTCATTTGAATGCTTTGGAAATCACCTGATAAGAATGAATTACCATAAATGACTGTAGCTAATTTCGGAGCGGCTGAGATAAGTAAAGATTGGGGGGACCATAAAATAAAAGTATTCTCACTGATATTATCAGTTATTCATGAGTGGTGGATTAAGTCGTGATTATGTAAAATTTGACAATCATACTGGCTCAAAGCAGTAACCCATATTCACAGTGTGTGTCCATTGTGGATCAGATGGGGACTCTGCTCCATTTGTCCTTAACCTTACTCCAGAGCACAGTCTGATGGGGCAGTACCTTCTGGAACATTGCTGGTCCCTGTGGCAGAGGGGACGCCTGCTGTGAAACTCTCACTGGCTGTATGCCTGAATTCAGCAAGGCGGGATGTAGAGAGGGGTACGGGGCATTTGTAAAGGGTAACGAGGTCTACCACACATCACTTTCCAGGGCTCTTTAGAGCCTTACCATTACCATTCTTTAAAGAAATTGGACTTGGAGGATGATGCCTTGAGGATGGTTTATAAAAGAAAGACTGTTGAGTGCAATGGTGGACGTATACTCAAAGAAAAGGCTCCAGCTCGATAACAAAAGATTGACAACAAATGTGTATTTATAGAGCTTCATTTAAAATGACATGTTTAGGTATGTATCATTTTTTATGACTTCCAAATTTAACTGACTTAAAAAAAAAATCAACCAAATTGTCAATCCTAATGCATTTGGGTAAGAGAACCTCTACTTTAGTCTTAAACCCTCCTGTTTCTTTCACACCCTCTATCAAATTAGTTTGCCACCTTTTATGATAGACTCATCTGTGATTTCCCTTGGCACATCTCCTGTTTCATTTGCATTAGCATTATCCTAATTCTCGTTCCTCAACTACTAGATTGGTACCTCAAATGAACTCCTTGGTATACTATCTTGTATAGGGCCTGTATGCAGTGAGAAAAAGGCACTCTTTGGGGGCAGACACAATCCCACAGGAGCTCAACTTTATTTTAGTCACCTAATTTCCCACCCTGGCTGGCCCACTTTTATGCGGTACACAAACTGAACAACTGCATGGAGCAGTCCTCCCTGCATTTAGTCACTTTCCCAACAAATTCAGGCCGCCCATCCTCTGCTTAAGCTTCCATTAAATTTGTTGTCTCTGTTGTGCTCAAAATCATTTTGGTGGCTCCCTGTCCTCTGTATGTAGTGGCTGTCCTCAGTTTTATCTTCCATGGGACCATCACCAGTGACTCTGAGCCTCAGTTGTTGCCATCTTGATGTGTGCCATAAGTAAGCTGGTTGGGCTGTGTAATGCTTCTCTCTCCCCGCCCACCCATTCCCACCACTCTAGCAACTGTGGGCTTGTTAGGTCTGACTCCCAGTCTAGCCTTGGCTTACCTTTCATCCCAGCTTCACTGTTCGTCGGGATCCTATACTGGCCGTCCTCTGCTACCATTTTGCCAGGTCACCGTCTTCTGAATATGTTTTTTATTTCTTGCTTTAAACTTCTTTTCTGCTTAATCACATCCAACTCACCTTTCAGGGTCAAGTTTCACCTCTTCAGCTATCCTTCTGTGATTCTCCTGCTCCATGATAGTAGCTCCACCTCTAAACAGAAATGTTCATCTCTATATTCCTCCTTTTGAGGTGAATCACCTGCCCTGTGTGAGCATATTATTATATTAGTTAGCTTACTCTTAAGTATTCTTTCCTCAATTAGATTGCACATGCATGAGAAGCAGTAGTTGTGTCTCTCATTCTTTCTTCTTTCGTTGCCTGCCTAGTGCTTTCTGAATACCAGGAGCATGGGTCCGAGTGAGAGGCTGTCAGTAGAAGAGAGTCCAGCATGTAACCATGATGGACTCTCGATCAATTTTATATGATTAACTCATATAAAACAGCCCTGGATTGAAGCTGGGGCCGCCTCTTCCTAGCCACAGGATATTGACCTACTTTCCTCTTCTTATCTGTTTGCAAAATATTTGTTGTACTTAGTGTGTTCTCCCTGTCACAACGAATGTTTGTCTCTCTCTTTCATATGAACTGAAGGCTAAAGTGCTAGTTAAATCAGTGGAAAAAACAATGGAGAAGAAAAGTTGGTAAGCAGTTTTAATTTCTAAACTAGAGGGGCCTTATAATTTTGTCGTTTAAAAAGAACCCTAGCTTTTCTACCCACCTATTGAGAGACAAATGTAAGGGTAGAACTTTAAATTTTAAGTTTTGATGATTTGTAATATAATAATGTATTTCGAAAGCCCCTTTTTTGATAAACTACTTGTAGAAGGAAGTTACCTTTTCTTAATCAGGTTTTTACAAAGTGGTTCACTATTGTATATTTTATTTCTTACCAAAACTTTCCTTGGGAAAATTTGTTGTATTGCTCCACACATGGTCAAGGTAATTAACTTTAAAAATGAATTATCCTATAGCTTTACAGGTTAGTAACGTGTGCTGTATTCAAGGAGAAAAAACTGTGGGGGGGGGGTGTTATTTGCAGGTATGTCTCCTTATATAAATATATGAAATAACTGCTGTATCCTGTGGAATATTTGGAAATTAGCAGAACTGTTATTCAAATTTAGTTAACATTTACAAATGTGAATTCAGTAAGCATTTTTTTTGTGACTTAAAAATGATTAGTTATGGCATGTCTTATAGGTTGATTTGTTTGGACTGTCTTTTGTTCTTCGTAACTTCAGAATGTATTTAAGGATATATAAGGAATTATGGTGCCTTTGATTTTTAATGCCCCCAACATTAGAAAAACTAGAAATTTACCTAGAAAATGTTTCCAAATTCTAATATGATTGTTGATTTTAATCAGTGCAGGTGAAGTAACCCATTGCAGCAGTTTAGCTATTTTCTTTAAAAAATATTTCTCAATTTACATTATCAGTGTCTTTTTTGGAACATCTTAGCTGTTTTTGTTTGATCAATTCTCAACTAGTAAACTTTCATGAAATCCTAATGTAAATGTGTAAATATCTCTCCCTTTGTTTACATGGTTTATTAGACTTTATTTTAGTGGGTAACTGCTTGAGGAAGCTTCTGAATTTTTATTATTCTAAAAAACTTTTTTAAACCTTGATTATGAAGGCATTACCAAAGCTTCACTGTTGAGTGATGCATATTTTTTCCCTCCTTTACATGTAGATTTCTTAATTTGTAATCATTAGACTTTTTTTTTTTTGCTTTCCTAACTAAATGAATTTTTTAAAGTAACCAGTTCCATTTTGTAGCTAACCATGTATTGTAAACACACAGGAACCATGTTCAAATGTGCCTTGATGGCCTAACTTATCTGGTTATTCTGTGCGTCTTTCTGTGCTGTGTATGGTTACACTTAATTTTATTTTGATTATGAGGTCAGAATAAACAGAGCTGCTTTCCTTTGCTTCTGAGTAATGTCATTGAGAGAGATTCTTGTGGTCTGGCATTTGCTGGCTTTTTGGTTTTTAACATTCTCTATAACCAGATTCAGGATGCATGCTAACCCCAAAATGAGTGAACTCAGTCTTTCCAGAGTTGAACCTTTTTTTTGTTGAATCAACAGCATTGGAAGCCAGGACAAGATCTTAGGAGACAATGTGTTATATGCTTTGTGAGGAAACTGAGGCTCGAAGGTAGCACTGTGCCCAGTGTCTCACTGTGAGCTAGCTGCAAAGCTGGGTCTGCAACTTGGATTTTGTGGATGTTTTTTCCAGAACCACTGCAGTAGTCATTGTAACCTATGATCTTTTGCAGAATGCCAAAGCTGTTGTTTTCTGGAGGGATAATTTGCTTCCTTAGCCTACAAACAAGAATAGTGCACTAAATCCAGTACATTTCTCTCTCTTATCACTGAAAAGAGCCTGAACGATCAGAAGGCCCCTGGTGTTTTTTTTTTTGTTTTGTTTTGTTTTTTTAAGAGAAGGTCGTTCTGCCGTAGTGTATCCCAGGCTGTTTTATGTGAGTGTCTTTGTTCAGAACCAATATGGAGTGGCCTCCGAAACTAATGGGTAGAGGAAACCCTATGTGAGTGCCTACCTGGTGCAAATCACTGTACTTTTAATTACAATGAGGGAGCACCTTGAGTGATTGCATGATCTGATCAAGCATAAAGAGAACAGAGAAATGAATCTACAAGTGGTGTAAGACTTTGGTGAGGATCTTAGCATATGGAACCAGATTGGGACCCTCTGATTAATAAGCTGATTCATTTGGAAGGGAAGTTGGTTTTCTCCTGGTGGCTGTATTCAATTCAGTAATCACCAGTCTTTCTTGGCGTCTGTGCACCCACCAGGAACAAATCAGAGTCGGGTGTGCCAGTTACGTTTGAACAGTTTTACGTTCACCTGGGGGTTCCAGGGTCTCAGATTTGCCAATCTAAACACATTGACTTCTTGGAATTTTTAAAATCTGCCTCGAAGGAACACATTGAAAAGTCCGTGCATTATAATTAGCACATTTCTCTGTACAGCTGAGTTTGTGTTTCTGGATATAACAGCGGTTTATAGTTTTTGGCTACCTTGTCCCTCGGGAACTTGTAGCCTTTTTTCAGACATTAGCTCATTAATTCTCCAGTCATTGTGAGACGTGTAGTATGACGACAGGTTCCCCTACAGCCGGGCTGCATGCTGCCCATCCTGGACCTTCTAGGGTTGTGGCAGGTGAGGGGTCCATGTGGAAGGGGTGGAGAGGGAGGCAGGGCACGACTTTCAGACCCAGCCTTGGAGTGGGGGGTGTGCTCTCTGAAGTTGACCTGCCCTTTGGCAGCCATTCCTGCCATGACTCTGCAGAGCTTCCTCCGGGAAATGACTGTAGGGACAGTCATGTTGGCTGCATTTCCTCCTCGGGGTGTTAAACCTCATGCAAGATCAACTGCAAATGAGGCCACTCACTAGGTTAGTTACCTGGACATACCTGCTAGGAGACAGGACAGAAGAGTAGGTCAGCTCTTCAGGGTGAGAAGAAGAAAGGGGGCATTGGAGAGGGAGAAATTCATCTACTGAGTCTGCTCTCTCGGTCAGGCTACATAACAGTCCTGTGGAATAGATGTTGTCATCCCTGATTTTTTAGATTAGAAATTTGAATTCCAGAGATGAATTCTTTTGGATTCGAGCCTGGGTCTGTGGCTCCACAGCCTGTGCCATACCACATTGGGGTGGATCGAAAGGATCCTTTGTGGTAAACTATTGCTGCAAGCCTTCTATAATAGAAGCAAAAACTGTCTTTGAAAAACTGTGCAGTGTTGTGAAGAGCTTGGTGTTTAGGAATTAGACTGAAGGGTGTATGTAATAGAATAGGTGTGAAAGACCATTTTCAGACCTGTCAGAAAAGCTTCATCCTCGCCCTGGCTCTTCTAGAAACCAGCTGGCTCCACTGCTTTCTTTTTTAAAAGAAGGTTTTGCCTGGGATTCTAAGGTCTCTCTCCTTGCTCTTTAATTATAAACAAAGGCACTTAGAAATTTTGCCCTTACATCACAAGTGAGAGTTGGTAACTGGTAATCCAAAACCTTCCATGTTGTTATAGCAGCCGCTGTTATTTTTGACTCAGAATTTCTTCTAATTAGTCTAGATGGTGTAGTTTGTCATTCTCACTTTACACAGTTGGGAAAAAAACTTTTTCCCCCCTTGTCACTTTGCGAATTGTAAGGTTCTAGATGCTGTCTTTCAGTCCTTAATAACTGGCCTGTGCCTGGGATTGAGGGTGGTGGATTGAGAGTATCTCCTCGTTGGTGGCTTTTGTTGATAAGGCCAGCTTTTCTACACTCAGACAGAAACAGACCTTGATCTTGGTGGTACCGACCCCTCTCTGTCTATGCAGAGACACAACCTAGGGTGTTAACCCTTAGATAACCAGAATGTTGAATTAATAGCCCCTCCCACTCACAGCTTTTTAAGGTTGGAGTCAGGTATGGCATATAGGCTTCCATTTGCTATTACCCATTTGTTTGTTTTCTCTTCGTGTTTAAATCTATTGGATTTCCTGATTGCCTGGTAATTTCATGTCCTTTGTATTAGCCAGAATTTGAACACAAGGCAACAACATACTATATGGAAATTGCCCAGTAGTTGTGCCTATTTCTTCCATAATCCAAGATTCTAACAAAAGCCCTCCTACTAGCATTCCATTAGACATTTTCCGCAGAAAACTTTAGAGAAAGTGGGGTGAGGGGTTTCTCAATATATAGTTGGCTTTCACAGTGAAATTAAGGATTGGAAAATGAGAGAACTATAACTGGTGAGGTAAATGCCTTGAATAGACACACCTTATATAAATATCTCTAAGCAAGCGTGTAGGTGGGAATGAAAATCAGCCATCACCTAACTCTTTTCACAAATGCATGTCAGGGTACCCACTTTCTCCAATGCTTTAGGGAGGGCTGCAGGGCACCCCATGTGGTTCTGTGTGGCCCACCAGACCTATTACCTTTGAGAATAATGCTGCTTGAGTAAATTGTCCTATAGAATCCAGTTTTCACCCAGTTTGCCTTTTTGGTTGGTGAATACTAAGGAAGTGTCTTGTCCTTTGGTTTCTAACTTTAATCCTTTGTGAGATCATTCAAGGTGTGCCATCGAGGCTCTCTGATGGTCCTCTGCCAGTTGTGACCTGGAGCAGAAGGGTAGTGATGATGGAAACCGACCTGGACTGAAGAATGGACTGTGCCTCTCTAATGTGCATTTATTTATTCGTTTTCTCTATACACCAGAGCCCTGTGTGTCAGCCACGCTGCCAGGCATGGGGCCTCTGCACATTGAGAACTTAAGTCTCCCTTCTCCAGGAGAAGAGCAGACAGACAAACTCACAGTTGTGAGGGAAGGGAAGTATTTTGGCATATTGGTCTGATCAAGCTGCTGTAACAAGATACCGTGGACTGGGTGGCTTAAAGAACAGTCATTTATTTCTCACAGTTCTGGAGGCTGGGGAATGGGAGATCAAGTTGCTGGTAGATTCGATTTCTGGTGAGGGTCCTCTTCCTGGCTTGTAGATGGCTGCGTTTTTGATGTGTCTTCAAACTGCAGGAAAGAGTGAGCCCTGGTTTCTTTTCTTCTTATAAGGACACCAATCTCTTCATGGAGGCCTCACCCTCCTGACTGCATCTAAACCAAATTACTT